ACTTTATCCTAGTTCCTCAACTTTAGCCATTCTGTCTCCTCCCCTCTCATTCACGGATACTTTAGATAAACTGGTATGGAAAGGAAATTCTTTGAATATATATAAGGTAAAAGATGGAGCTTCCATTTTAACTAATGCTGATACTGCAGTTTTACATGATTTCTAGGAGTTCATTTGGAAATTTCCTTTGCCTCAAATTTTAAGAACTAAAACTAACTCTTTAATTAGTTCCTGCATTTAGGAGTAATACATCTGAAATTTGGTTTTTGTTGTAATTACTTTGTGAGGGGGGCATAACAATATGGATTGATATTCTTTTTTCTTCTTCTTGATTTATGACAGGAAACCAAAACTGAGTTGGAAGGTATTTTTCTTGACATTTATCTTTGGATTGTTTAGGTAAGTTTTCGAGCAAAATAAAAATAACTATTTAGGATTAATTTTTTATTGACTTAGAAAAAGGGGAAAACTATGTTAAAAGAAATAAGTGGATTTTAAAAATTAAAATTAATAAGTAGAGACAGTACGGAAGAGCGTAAATTTGGATTAAGAAGACTAACTAAGAAATAGGGATGCAGGGGAACCATATTCCAGGGGCTACAATTATATTGGAGAGCCCGGCTTTGACTTCGGCAACATTTGCTCCTGCCTCCCTCAATCTCCTGCCTACAATGACCTTTCTCATGGCCCCCTCCTTTAGGTAAACTCTAACCACATCATTATATACACATCAATCTTCTTCTATTGTACAATTATCTGATATTCTTCTGGTTATTAATATAAGACCTATTTAACTAATTTGATTAGATTAAAAAGGTTAGATAAATTAGTTAATTATAAGAAATATAACATATTTTTCCTAAAATACTATAATAATTTTTCTTACTATCTTTCGTCCCTCACTTACTTGATTATTATTGAGAAAGTATCCATAGGAGTAATTTAGAAAAAACTGATAAATATGATAAATAGATTTTATATTTAGGACTAAAATGAACTTAATAATTAGGTCCTATATTAAGGACCGGGAAGTATTTAATATCACTTCAATTCTCAATATAAAACCAAGTTTACTAATTTTAGGAGACTAAGAAAGTTCAATAAATTATTTTAACGTATTACATTTATGGTTTTTCTCAAAACTATTTTACTTGAATTATAAATTGATATACATATTCTAATAATATACATGAATATTTTAAAGAGAGACGATAGGGACTGTTTGGGTAATAAATGAGGAAAGCTTATTTAGAAGCCATGTAGGCAATAATTTTTGCACATAGCATAATTAAGTGATGACCTAGTGTGACTTATATGTGATAAAAATTAATTTATTAAAAGAGAAAAGTTGAAGGGCCGAATTTTAAATGAGTTAAAATTTAAGAGACTGAATCATAACTGAATTACAATTTAAATGACTAAAAGATTAATTTTTTTCCTTAAAAAATACTCCTCCGGTCCTTAATATAAAAGCCATTTAACTAATTTGATTAGATTAAGGAAGTTAGGTAAGTTAGTTAATTATAAAAAATATGACACATTTTTCCTAAAACACCACAATCATCTTTCTTAATACCTCATCTCCCTCTTTTACTTGATTATGGTTGAGAGAGTATCTATAGGGGTAATTTAGAGAAAATTAATAAATATGATAAATGAGTCTTATATTTAGGACCAAAACCAACTCAAAAATTGGGTCCTATTAAGGACCGGAAGAGTAACAGTTTGGAGAGTTTATATTTGGGAGAAGGAGCGGAATGGGCAAAGAGGCTAGGAACGATAGTTGGAATAGGAGGAGCAATGGTGATGACTTTCGTCAAATGTCCACGTGTTCACATCTTCCCTTCTCGCTTGAATCTACATCACCACCACCATGCCCACGTGGCACTCCACAGCGACATCGCTCGTCAGGCTTTGGGTGTCGTTTGTGCCATTGGCAGCTGTTTCTCTTACGCCTTCTGGCTCATCATTCAGGTTCCTAATTCCTTCCCCTTTTGTATTGTTATTGTATCTGCATATCTTTCTTCAGTTATATATAGATCATCTCTCTTTTTTTAAAAAAAAATTGATAAATCTTCTTATGTTCTTGAAAAACACGTTATATAGTATTGTCGTTTACAATTGGAACAGGGTGTGATGAGCAGAACTCCAGGTGAGTACCCAAGCCATTGCACAAATACGGCACTCATGTCAACGATGGCGGCGATATAATGACACAAGACTACAGATAGGATCTGCAACCTCTTAGTTGGCATTCATGTTGCTTTTTTATGTAAAAAAAGCTATTGGCGCAACTTTTTTTTTAAAAGAAAAAAGCATCTTTATTTATGAAAAGAGCGACAATGAGTAATTAAAAAGTGTTGATTCTAGTGAAAAGGGTTTTATTTGCTTAAAAGTGAGTTCTCAGATTTGAGTTCGTGTGAATACAGAAAACGCCTTTAAGAGAGCTATCGGCAGTTAGACTTGCTAATGCTTGAATCTAACTCAGTCAGATAACTATATAGAGGGGGGAAAAGAAAACAAGTAAACCGATAACTAATGTTCGTTAAGACTATATTGTCTCTTGTGAATAGGAACAGATGATCTCTAAAAATATTTTCTTATACACAGTATAAGAGAGATTACCTTATTAAGATAAGGTGTTATATGTTATTTCTAGTTTAAAAAAAAAAAGTGTAAAACCATTCTACGATGTATGTGTGTAAATATTATCAATATGCAAGGAATAGTGGCGTCGGGAGTGACGGTGATAGCAATAGCATGGTTTGTGGAGAAGGTACGTATCAATCTAAAATGATCATGTGTTTATCAATTTAATTACATTCGTCACTCTGTACAAGTGTCAGTGGACTTGACTTGATTAACGATTCGTTGGATCATCAAGAAGAACATGACCACGAAGCTCCAAGTCATTTATAAGCGGAATCAAGAGGACTATACATGTTTCATTTCTTGAATAATTATCTTAATATTTGGTAAAAACGTACAATCTCTTGCTTTTCCTTTGAGCTCTTCGGCTTTCTTGCTCTTCATTGCTCCTCCTCCTTCTTGATTATCTCCCAGCCTTCCATTTTAACCCCATGGCTCAGTGTCCCTCCAAGCCAATGAAATGAAGATGATCCTAAGCTAAGAAACTGATTAGCTCAACTTCTTTCAAAGGGGTCAGTGGCTTCATGCAGCAATATTGGGAGCCAAAGAAGGTTTGGTTTCAATTGCCGCATTGAGGAAGAGATGGACAAGGAGGAGGAGAAACTGTCAAATCTATTTCAAGCAGCATCTGCATCGGCGTAAGAGGTTACAGGATAAGGTCAATGGTGGCTGCGGCTGTGGCTTCATTGGCTTTGACAGTGTTTCGATATGTGGGAGCTGTTTTTTGTGGATTGAAGCTTACGGGTGAATTTATTTGCTCTATTTTGCTGTATGAGGTTAAATAGGTTCTCAGAGTTCCTTATATAAGACAACTGAAGAGCAGAGGCACGAATGATACTATTTGGCTGATAAAGAACTACATTACACACACACACACACACACGTACACGTATGCATGTGTATATATATGTATGTATGATGCCTCTTCCTCCTTATCTGTTAGGCGAAAAACAGATGTATTCAATTCATGAGGCCAAGGGCACAGGATTCAAAGTAGTTGTTGATTAAGTACTGTTTGAATAAATGTCTAAAAGCCTTAAATCTTCACTAGTCGTAATCTTAATTTCATGAAAATGAAAAGTAGTTCTTATCATTTTTCCTTTTTTTATTTCTTAGTTTTTTAATATTAATCTTATCGGATTAAGGTATATCTATATAAAAACAAAGTTCGTGATTAATTCATGTTCTTGATTCTTAAATTAAACAAAACAAAAAAAACCATCCTATTGATCTCTGATTTTCACCCCCCAGAATTTTCATCCCTTCCCATGATAAATCCTTGAATCTCCCGCCCTCTTTTCTGCGAGTTCAAGCCATTCGATCTCTGATTTTTATTCTGAGATCTTCACCTTGTTTGAGCTTCTTTGATCTCTTTCCTTTTTGTGTGCTATGGCTTCCATTTTACCATGTGGCATGATGTCCCTTAATCATGCAGGAGTAGCTCCAAAGCCAAATCAACTAAATTATGAAGATGATCATAAACAGACCACACCCAAACTCCAGCCAAAGAAACCGATCAGCTTCGTGCTGCAATATTGGGAGCCAACAAGGGTTAAAAAAGATTCCAAGGCAAAGGTGCTCTCTGGGTTTGCGGGGACAGTATCAGGAGCTTGCAGTATGGCAGTGGGAGAGTTTATGTCAGTTTACGCTCAGTATGATGTTGAAGTTGCACAGATGAAAAGGTAAATGCATTTTCCTCCTCTTTTAGAGAAAATGGAAATACAAGAGGATGCGGAAGTGAACAGAGAAGTCATTATTTCAGTAACTAAAGGTAAAGAATATCAAATAAATGTGCCAAAAAAAAAAAAAAACTCCCTAGGGTGATATTTAGCATCTGATTATCCTCGTGTCTTAAGTATTTGGGAATAAAAAATACTTATAGAAAAATTAAACTTGACATATATGTATTATAAAAATGTTCAAACTTACACAAAGAAACTCACACACTGCAGGACCTGGAAGTGAAAGATTACAATAGCTTTGCAAATGAAATGACATAAATACTAATGAAAACCTTCAAATAGGGCTCCTTGAAACGGATGTTCTCTCTTTTTATGTTGTGGTAAATAATGATATGTGTATCCCCAAAAATTCACGACTAACTGATGAAGAGATTGCACCCATCACTCATGGGTCGACTCTGGAGTTGCATCTTCAATGATCCCGAGCGCTTTGTCACTCGTACCTCCCGTAATGAAGTCAGGGACCAGAGCTGGTCAGGGAGAGTAGTCAACATCCAGCAATCTTTAATGCTCAAACATCTAAGACATGGCATGGCATCACTACCTAATTCCCAGCAACTGACGTAAGGCATGCATTTCATTTTAAATACCTCTAGTTGGGGGAACCCGTTAATACAACGAAGCTCCGCCAGCTCCCTCCCACCGTTTTCCAACCTTACAAAAATATAGTCTCAAAATTCTGAGATTCGCAAGACTTCCCAAAATGCTCATGACATCACTATTTAAGTTGGTGCTTGAGACTGTTAGCTCTGTAAGGTTGGAAAGAAAGGCATTGACAGATGATGGAATATCAGGAAAGTCATAAATCTTCAATGCATTCAGATAATTTAGGTTTGCAAGGTTTTCCCACACTTGACCAACCCCTTGTTTATGCGTGTCATCCTCGGAAAAACGCAAACCCAATCTCCTAAGTTTTGGGAATACGCCTCTCCCTATTAGAGACATAATAGCTGACTTTTTGTTTATGCCAACATGAGATAGAGTTTGTAGATTCCACATGGTTTGGCCTTTCACATCTGGAAACTCTGGTAAAATAATAAATGCAGGGGTATGAAGATGCCTCAGTCTCTTGAGCTTCCAAATTCCAATGGGAAAGGACACCTCCCCGTCATATAGTAGCCCACGCCCTAAGTCCAAAGTTTCTAGATTCCAAAGATTGCATATGAATTGAGGAATCACAATTAGAATACGTCCATCAACAACATGGTCTAGTTCTATTTTTAGATGAATGAACATGCCTAAGTTGGCAGGGATCTTATTGTGGTTGGAACTTGATAGATCCAACACTCGAACAAGTTGTAAACATTTCAAAAACCTTTTTGACTCACTTGAATCAAAAAGGTAGTGGGAGTTGTCGTCAAAGCAAAGCATAGAACGAGTGCTTGAATGGTCTTTGTTGCTTGAAGCAAAATAATCAAACATATTACATTGAATGGATAGCCTACTGGGCTTGCTTTGCTTCAAAATGTCTGTATCCCTACAAACTTCAAAAAGCTTCTCCTCCATGCTCTCAGATATGCAGAGTTCTCTTAGCGAATCATGGATCCGACATGTCTTGATGCCCCCATCGCTTCTCCGTCTCCCTACTTGGATTAAGCTACGATCAATGAGCTCATCCACGCAGTCCTTGGCAACATCCTCTACAATTATGGGATCACTATGACGAATGAATCCTTCAGCTACCCATAATTGGATTAAGCTTCTAATAGGAATCTCGTAGTCTTCAGGAAACATACCAAAATATGGAAAGCATGGCCTCAATCTTGAAGGCAAGCTATCATAACTGAGTTTAAGTACTATATCAAGTACCTGTGTTTCTGGTCGAGTGAGATATAAGTTGACATGATCCATAACCTTGGACCATTCTCGGTGTGACTTATCCTTATTTGCTAGAATTCTTGCAAGCACCACAATGGATATTGGCAAGCCACCACAACTTTTTGCCATACGCTTACCTAATAACTTTATGCCATACGCTTACCTTCTTCTTGAAACACCCTCTTTCAAAAAAAGCCCCCAACTTTCTTCTTCGTTAAGAAAAGGGAGACAGTAGGGAGGAGATAAGCTGGCTTAAGAAGCCACTCCTTTCACACGACTAGTAATCAAAATCCTACTACTTTTATTATCATTCGGGAAAGCATATTGTAGGTCATCCCAATGTTGAGTTTGCCATACGTCATCCAACACTACAAGATACCTCTTTTCTTTTAAACAGTCTCATACCTTGTCTCTCAGTTCTTCCTCGCTCAAACTACACAAGTCATCATATCCAGCTTTGCCTTTGCCCTTTGATTTCTTTCCATGCTTGCTACTTATATATATTGTTATTGTAATGACATGCATTTGTAGAGATTGGCATCAAGCGTCTAAGAAGGGCGTGCCAAAGCTCTCTAGGTCTATAGTCATCAGACACATAAACCCAAGCATAACACTCAAAGTAATTCTTGACATAATCACTGTTATAAATCTTGCGAGCGAGAGTAGTTTTACCCAATCCGCCCATACCTATGATGGACACCACACTTCGACGCGAACCCCCTTGCTCGAGGCGATTGATTACTTCATCTGAGTCATGCTGAAAACCCACCACGTCCTCTTCCTCCACATCCCTTCTTCGCTTGTGCAGTAGTTGTAACTCCTGATCCGTTGAAGATCCTACTGCTTCTTGGGTGTCATATTTGATTTTGTTTTCATGAATCCCATTGATGGTGGCTTTAATGTTGTCTATTTTCTCTGCCACATGGTGCCGCAGCTTTGCATGGTTGACAACATGGAGCATCCTGGACAACCAATTTCTCCTTCGATGCCGGGCAACTTTGCCAACAAAGGTGTCGATGACATCCTCAGCTTCATGTGCGACTTCTGTAATTTGATGAAGAACCTCTTGTTCGATCTCCTTCTTGCGCTGGTTTTGGTTGTAGCTCTTAAGGAAGACATGCATCATTCTGAGCTCACTCTCAAGGGACCTCACTTTGTCCTCCACCCCACACAGCAAATTGGCTTCGTGTGTAACAAGTCGAGACAGGTTTTCCAGCACAAAACTAACTACGCTATCTGCCATGGAGTCTGCACGATCAACACAAGAACACAGAAACAATAACAGAAGCAAAATTTGATGCACAAGACGTTCAACCCTCAAGGATATAAGATAAGATAGATCGAAATGAATGGCTCGTAGGACCTGAAGGGGACAAAAGAAGCGTGTGGGTCCACCAAACATTGACTGGGAAATTGGGAGAAGACTTAAAAGTTGAGCCCTCCCTCCAATGGTATTCTTCTCCCTCTGAATCAGAGGCTCTAATGAATGATATCCGCTCACTAGTGTAATTGTTGGAATTTCGTTGTTATATTCTTTTTTTTTTTTTGGATAAAGAATTTCGTTGTTATATGGTTAAGTTGTTAGGTTCTATAATATCATCGAATATTCAATGGCTTTCTTAAAGAAAACTTGTTCGATTAAACTGCATTTTCTTGTGGAAAAAATTCCATTAATTCAATTCGCTCTGTTTTTTAATCTTTCATTATATATTTTCCGCATTGATTATTCGCGAGTTTATTGAAGTGCATGATCTATTAAAATTTTACCATCTTCATTCGTGATGTTATTCTATTGATTTAAATCGAAACTTTTACATTTTTTAAAAAACTCATTATTCGGTGCACTTATATCTCCTTATACATGTGTTAGGTCTGGTCTTCTACAAAAAAACAGACTTTAGGCGACGACTTTCGGCGGCGGCAAAAAAAGTCGCCGCTAAAACTAAGACTTTCAGCGGCGACTTTTTTAGTCGCCGCTAAAAGTTCGCCATTGAAACCAAGACTTTTAGCGGCGACTTTTTTAGTTGCCGCTAAAAGTTCGCCATTGAAACTAAGACATTCAGCGGTGACTTTTTTTGTCGCTGCCGAAAGTAGACTTTTAGCGGCGACTCTTTTAGTCGCCACTGAAAGTTTGTTATTAAAACCAAGACTTTCAGCGGTGACAAAAGTGTCGCCGCCGAAAGTGGACTTTTCGCGGCGACTTTTTTAGTCGCCGCTGAAAGTTCGCTACTGAAAGTGGACCTTCAGCGGTGACTTTTTTTGTTGCCGCTGAAAGTATAATATAATAATATATATTTTATTTTACAATATTAATAAACAAATTCAATCTGGCTCAGCGGCAAGAAGGTTGGACACGAAAGGAGGCGGTCACGAGTTCGAACCTGGAAGAAGACACATTTAAGGTGAAAATATTTGGACGATGACGTGGCGAGGAGGAGTGATGTGGCAATGACGTGGAGGTGGCTAGTGATGATGTGGCCGCCGATGGCGATGACATGGAGGTCGACGGTGATGACGTGGCGGACAGAGAAGATGACGTGGCACCGGCGGTGATGACGTGGCATTGGTAAAGCCAATTCTTCTTAGGCATTACTTTCAGCAGCGACAAAAAAGTCGCCGCGGAAAGTGTTTTTGGCGGCGACAAACTTTTAAAAGTCGCCGCTAAAAATATCTTTTAGCGGCGACCTTTTTAGTCGCCACTGAAAGTTTTCAGTCACGGCTACTACGGCAACGACTTTTTAGCGGCGATTTGTTACCGCAAAAAACTTTCGGCAGCGACCGCTGAAAGTCAATTTTTTTGTAGTTAGGAAATATGTGGGAGATTTGTTCTGATTTTTAGTATGTGAGCTCAATTGATCATATTCATTATTTTTCTCCCAAACTACTTCCTCTGATCTATAATATAAGAAGATTAGCTTTTCTTACTTACCAAAAAAATAAAAGTTTATTCATTAAATTTATTTTAAAATGATAGAATTTTTCTATTTTACCCCTCCAAAAAATACCAAAATTACTTTTAATGTTATATTTTTATTAGCTCTCATCTTTTCCCTATAGTTAATAAGGACGAAACAAAATAAATTACATTAGTTATTCTGACAATGTCTTATATTTCAAACCACAATTTTCTTCTAACCAAAGCTTGATATCATGTGCTGGAGGGACTACTTTTGTTACTTCCTCAACAACAATAGTAATAAAACTTAAGAGGGTGTTTTAAGAAAATTACATTATATTTATTATGATTAACTTATAAAAAAATTAATTTGACAGTCCTTATACCTTTATTAGATTTTTAATCAAGTCCCCATAGTTTTTTTCTTTTATATCAGATGCGTGTAATTTTCACAGTCATACACGTTGATCCCTGCCGTTAACTTCAGAGGTAAGTGACTGGTGAGGTGGCTGTTAGATGATGATTAGGCTGACTCAGCTAGTTGATGCTCTAAGAGTAATGATGCATCGGAGAAGATGGCGGAGGAAGCCGATTTCTTGCACGGAAAGAGGGAGATGATGGACAAAAAATGCAGGAGGCTAGAAAAAGCATTGCGGGAAACAAAAAAAAAAAACAAAAGAAAAAAGTGATGGGGATGCCATGTGGCATTAATATGCCAGTCCCATCTGACGTGTTAACGCCGTTATTCTAATTCGTCAATCAAGTGGAACATTACAATAACATTACTTTAAAATACAATAGGATTGAAATTGCGCCTTAAATAACATTTTGGTAAGTAATTACAACAATTTGAAAACTTTGGAGGGGGATTGCACTTTAACCCTTGAAAGAATTTAAAAAAAAAATATAAAGATCTGATTAAAAATCAAGTAAAATGACAAGAACTGTTAAATTAACTTTCTCTTAACTAATTTATCTATTTTTTTTAATTATTTTTGATGGGGATAATATTTTTTTTTTGGTGAATAGTACGAGGCATTTAGCCTATCTTATTGCATCAAAATTGAACGTGGGAAGGCAACACCCACAAAGTCATTGTACAAGCAACCTGATACCTGTTGGGGAGGCTTGTCAAAAACCTTCAGCACCCCGTCAATACTAAAACTAAACTTAGCTAGACAGTCAGCACTATAGTTTGCTTCTCTATATACATGCTGGATCTTAACTTGTGCTAGCTTAATCAATTCAGCTTTCACAAGTTTTAACAAAGCAGAATCTATATCAAGCTAACTATAATGTTTTCTAAAATTTTTACAACAGCAGCAGAATCACATTCAACAATCAAATATTGTACACCAAGTTTAGTTGTCAGCTGCAACCCTGTGAGGACACCCCACAACTCTGCCTTTATTGCTGTACACACGCCAACTTTCCTAGCATATCCAGTAATCCACTTTCCATCACAGCCTCTCAATAGACCTCCACAGCCCGCCAGACCCGGTTGGCCCTTGGCTGCACCATCAGAGTTTAGTTTAAACCATCCCTCCTCAGGTGGTATCCATCTAATATTCCTTTCCTGCCTCCTGATGCTTTTGGGAGAGTATACATTAGGAGACATTGAGATTTCCCTAGCAAACTTTCCAATCACTATTTCAGGGCATTCAGGTATTCTAAATCCAGTTTCAAACAAAACCTTATTTCTCCAGTTCCATAGTTGCCAGCAAGCCACTCCAAATTCAGTAACCTTTAGCTTGTCTTGCCTACATAGCCCCCACGTGATCCATTCCTTCCCTTGTAGCAAAAGAAACTCTGGAAATTGAGTCCAGCCACCTAATCGATTCCAAACTCTATCCGCTACTTCACAATCTCTTATCACATGCATTATATTTTCTGTTTTGCCACTACATTTATAACACTCCTTATTACCACCAAAAAATTTGCTTCTCCTCTCAGCAGTTAGAAGGCGTTCATGTGCAGCAATCCACAAGAATGTTTGAATTCTTCTAGGCCCTTTCCATTTCCAGATTTTATTCCACACTTCCTCTTTATTCCCTCCTTCTCCCTTCATCTTCCAGTACATTTCTGCCACAATATACTTCTCCTTGACACTGGATCCCCATCTAATAGTATCCTTTCCATTAGAATCACATGGGGGCGGTATAGCAAGAATAAGATTCTGCCCTTCTTCCAAAATACAGCTTTCTATTTTCTCCATATCCCATTCGCCATCCTTATTTACTAAGCATCTAACCTTTTGACGAAGTTCTTCATCATTTAAATTCTTTTTACAATAGTCAATCAGTCTCCTTTCCCCCTCTAGCCATCTGTCATTCCAAAGTTCAATTTTCCTTCCATCCCCCACTTCCCATCTTATACCTCCCACAATATTTGGCCATATACGAGCCAAATTTTTCCATACCTCTGAATCTGTGTTTTTCGCAATGCATTCAGACTCCAGATTTACTCCTCTACCATACTTCCCTTTCAACACTCGAGAGCAGATAGAACCAGGATTTGTAATCAAATTCCATCCAACTCTACCCAACAAGGCATCATTTAGAATACTCATGTTCTTCAAACCATACCCTCCTTCCTCCTTTCGGCTGCACAAAGTTTCCCAGCTCAAGGCATGCATTTTCCTCTTTCCATCCTCATGATTCCAAATGAAGTCACACTGTATCTTTTCCAATTGCTGCCTCACACCCACAGGTATATGAGAGTGTTGCATTTGGAAGATTGCCATTTGACTTAGGACTGATTGAGCCAAGGTAAGCCTCCCTGCTAAAGATAGAGTCTGCTTCTTCCATCCATTCAGTTTGTCCTGCATCTTATCAATCAAAAGCTGAAACCTCTCTTTTGTGCTTCTTCCTTTCATGATATTAGCACCCAGATATCTTCCTATTTCATCCATACACTTAAACCCAGTCATACTGCAAATATCATTCCTTACTCTCAAGTCTGTATTTTTTGAGAAATAAATGCTGGTTTTCTGTATGTTCAACTTTTGCCCAGAAACAGCACCAAATTTCTCTAAAATCTGAAGCATATTACAAGCCTGTTCCATAGTTGCTTCACAAAACAGCAGTAGATCATCTGCAAATAGTAGATGAGAAATAGCCACACCACTTCTTCCTATTTTGAAAGGCAGCCACTTCTTTTCATCCACACTGTCAGCAATTAAGTGGGATAGTTTTTCCATTGCCAGGACAAACAAATAAGGAGACAAGGGATCTCCTTGCCTCAACCCTCTTTGAGGTTTGAACATTTCCTTTTCCTCTCCATTCCACATAATTGCCATTCTAGGTGTGCTAATACACATCATTATAATTTTTATCAAATGTTCATCAATCCCAATCTCCCTTAAAACTCTTCCAACAAACTCCCAAGACATCCTATCATAAGCCTGTTCTAAATCAATTTTAACAGCCATAAAGCCTCTTCTCCCAGTCATCTTGTTCATAGAGTGTACCATTTCCTTTGCTATAATTATATTATCATGGATACTCCTCTTAGGAACAAAACTAGTTTGGAAAGGGGAGACTAGTTTATCCATAAGAGGTTTAAGTCTATTAACAATCACTGTAGTAATCCCTTTGTACAAAACATTACAAAGAACAATAGGTCTGAAATGACTTACAGTTTCAGGATGCTCTATCTTTGGAATTAGCACCAATAGAGTGCTGTTTAATTCTTCAATGCGTTCTGGATTTCTCCACATTTCGTCAATCAGCCTCACAACAGAATTCCCCACAATGTTCCAATTCTGTTGGTAGAAAAATGTAGGGTAACCGTCTTGGCCGGGTGCCTTAAAGCTCCCCATTTGGAAGAAAGCCTGCCTGATCTCATTCTCATCGATTTGCCTCTTCAAACAATTTAAATCTGAAAATTCCACTTTACCCCATTTCTGCTTCGTCTCCAACCAATGCCTACAACAATTCTCCTCTTCAAACAGATTTAAGTAGAAATCCTGAAATTGCTGCACAATCTCACCTTCATCTTCAAGCCACACGCCCTCGCCATTCTTTATCATCTTAATCTTGTTTCTCCTCCTTCTAATTAGAGTTTTTGGGTGATAATATTTTGTATTCCGGTCTCCCTGTTCTAACCAGATGGGGATAATATTTATTTAAAGAGGGAGTTGGTTCTTCAATGGTTGAGAATTAAAAACGTGTGGGCCCTTTTTTTTGGGTTCTTTTTGGGCCTTGAAAAGACGTGTGGGGCAAGACCGTATATGAGAAATTGAGATGTAATAAAAGAAGCGTGTGGGCCCACCTCGGCCCACCTCACATGACCTCAAAGACTCTTTAATTGTTGCTCTCCAGTCTCCACATTGACTTTGGGTCAGCATGTAAATTTAATTTTTTTTTTGACCGGGTATGTAAATTTAAATTTGCAGTAAAGGATAAACATTAAAATGTCAAAACCGCTTGAGGTGGATGGCACACTTGTCCTGCACCTCCTTCATTATGTGTTTTGGTGAGGTTAATTCAGGGTAATGGTTCTTGCATCACAATAGACTCCCAAAACTCTTTTTTGTAGACCATGATTTTCTTAAAAGGTTTTTCAATAATTATCCTTTTAAAATGGGTTAAGCTGAGGACTTGCTTCTGAATCCTTGCAATAGCTTTATTGATACCCTAAACACAAAATAATATAAAACCTAATTAACTAACCGGAGAAGAATAAAAAATTAGCTAAGTGTGTTTGAATTGATGTTGTCTTTCTTAAAATATCTTTATTAATCACATGTATTTGAATTATCCATTGATAATAACTCTTTAACATATGCAAAACTATAGAGATTACTTGAGAGAAAAATAATAAATATTGAAGATAACGTAAATTGAGATAGTATATTTATGACCAAATTGAATATTAAACTAGTCTTTATATTAAGGACTGGAGCTAGTATTTAGAGAGTTTACAATGGAAAAGAAAAAACGGCACGCCCAGAACCAAAACAAAAACAAACAAAATAAATTTATAAACAGTGAACAGCTTAAATGCCTTTAATTTCATTTTAATCTGTTAATAAATTGGATAGACTAGATAGGATTATCGTTGGCAATACGAAAAATTCTCCTACCCGAAGACAATGAATTCTAGGATGACGGACCAACCCAACCAAGGATTGTTTCATATCATCCTTGCCATCGGTTCAAGTCTCGACTCATTTACCTTGCAAATTGATTTGCTCAAAAAGTACTACTGCTTCCAATTCTTAATATTACGTAACGAAAGATAGGAGTAAAGAAGACAAAACAAAGCTTATACTACCTCCAAACGTTAATTATTTTTCCCAAAAAGTTTTTCTCTACAAAAAAAAAAAAGCCATGATGTCTTCTTATCAGTGCTAAGGTTAATTAACGAAGATGATCCTAAACAAGACACCCAAACTCCCAACAAAGAAACTGATAAGCCTGACTTCTCTCAAAGGGTTCAGTGGCTTCATACTGCAATAATGGGAGCCAATGATGATTTGGTTTCAATTGCCACACTGATGATGGGTTATAAACTTCAGCATTCACCATTGCCATCAAATGATCATACACAACAACAACTGATCACTCTTTCGTTTCTAAGAATCATCCAGAAGAACATGAAGATGAAGCTACAAATCATTTATAAGCAGAATCAAGAGGACGACGTTTCCTTTCTTTCACCGTCTAAGATATATAATTTTTTGGCATTATAATGTATTATAGTTAAGCATCCATTCTTTTCTTGAATAATTATCTTAATACTTGGTAAAGGCTGTACAAACTATATATTATTACCAGAAAAAGTAAACCCAAAACCTTCAATCTCTTAATTTTCTTCTGAGATCTTCTGAGATCTTCAGCTTTCATGCTCTTTGTTGCTTCTCCTTCTTCTTATCTCCCATGTCTTCTATTTAACCCCGTGGCTGAGCATCCCTCGAAGCCAATGAAATGAAGATGAACCTAAACTAAGAAACTGATCTGCCCAACTTCTGTCAAAGGAGTCAGTCACTTCATGTTGCGATATTGGGAGCCAATGATGGTTTGGTTTCAATTGCTGCATTGATGGAGAAACGCAGAAGAAGGAGAAGGAGGAGCAGAAGAAACTGTCAAATCTATTTCAAGCAGCATCTGCATCAGCATAGAGGTCACAAGATAAGGCTAGTGGTGGCTGTGGCTGTGGCTTCATTGGCTTTGACAGTGTTTGGATATGTGGGAGCAGTGTTTGGGCTAACCAGTTACTTGGGTTTTTGTGGATTGAAGCTTATGAGTGGATTTAATTGCTCTATTTTGCTGCATGATGTTAATTAGGTTCTCAAAGTTCCCTATGCAAGACAATTCAAAAGCAGAGGCAAGAATGATACAATTTGGTTGATAAAGAATTACTACTTCTAGTCCTTTATATAAGAGCTAATTAATTAATTTGAGTCAATTAAGAAAGTTTTTTAAGTTAGTTATTTGTAATAAATAGGTATTATTTTTCCTAAAATACACTTGCTAATCATGTGTATTAGCTCGGACTACCATTTAATGGAACCTTCAACATATGTAATTACTATAAACCACTCTGAAAAAATAGATAAATATGATAAACAAAATAGATTGTATCTTATATTTAGTACTAAATTAAAAGTTAGATTAGTTTATTAAATTAATGACCGGAGATAGTATACTATATATATGATTTCTCTTTTTTTGCATTTTCCTCCCTATCTGTTAGCAAAAACAGATGTATTCAATTCATGCGGCCAAAGCCACAAGATTCAAAGTAAACCTCAACAGATAAGCATTTTTAATTACAGTTTGAATAAATGCTTAAAAGCCTTGGATCTTCACTAGTCATAATCTTGATTTCACAAATGAAACATAATTCTCATTTTTCCTTTTTTTTTTCCCCTAAGTTTTTGAAATATTGATCTTATCAGATTAAGGAATATTTATCAAAATCTTTTCGTTGGATTAAAAAAGTATGTTTATAAAAAAATATATGCAATTAATACGTGTTCTTGATTCTTGAATTGTAAAAAAAAAAAAAATGCCATTGCTTTAAGGCGTTGATTAAGAACAAAACAGAATAGGGCTTTGGGTTGTGATTGTGTTTCTGTATAAAATATTGTTTGAGATGATTATTGATCCTGTCGTGAGACACACTCCAGTTTTTGCATAAATCCATATTCTTCGCAAGATATCTGATTCTGAACAATTTCATTTCCTTCATACAGACACTGCTTTCTGGATATTTTATTGTCAAAGATGAGTATTGAGACAGTAGTTAGCCTCATTTATTCTAAAATAACTCAGTTACTGTCCTTGGAGAAAGTCAGATTGAAGAACTTTGAAACAATATTCCCAATCCTACATCATTTGACTGATAGAATAACCTTAAAGCCTCTAGAAATGAACCTACAAATCAATGAATCATTCATCAATAACACTCATCCCCCAGAATTTTCATCCCTTCTCATTACAAAATCCTTGAATCCCCACTCTCTTTCCTGCAAGCTCAAGCCATTCGATGCCTGATTTTTCTTCTTAGATCTTCAGCTTGCTTGATTTAAATTTTTGTTTGGTTTTAATTTCTGCACTAAAGATGGGTGTAGGATCTGTTAAAAAAGATTCCAAGGCAATGGCGCTTTTTGGTTTTGCGGGGACAGTGTCAGGGGCTTGCAGCATGGTAGTAGGAGAGTTTGGGTCAGTCTACACTCTAAGTATGATGTTGAAGCTGCACAGATAAAGAGAGAAATGCACTTTCCTCCTCTTCTAGAGAAAATAGAAGTACATTGGGATGTTGAAGTGAACAGAGAAGTCATTTTTTGAGTGACCAGATGTAAAGAATATCAAAGAAATGTGCCAAAAGGAAAAACTCCCTCGGGTGATATTTGGCATGTGATTATCCTCTTGTCTTGCGCATGTGGAAGTAAAAAATCCTTATAGGAAATTAAGCTTGATACACACACAAACATATACAATAAAATGTTCAAACTCACACTGCAGGACCTGAAAGTGAGAGATTACAATAGCTTGCAATGAAATGACAAATACTATTGAAAACATTCAAATAGATCTCCCTTGAAACAGGTGTTTTCTCTTTTCATGTTTTGGAGTAAATAAAGATATGTGTATCCCCAAAAAATTCACCCCCACTAATTGATGGAGAGATTACACCCATCTCTCATAGGTCGACTTTGGAGTTGCATCCTCAATGATGTAGAGATCACGCTCACTCGTACCTCCCGTAAGGAAGCCAGGGACCAGAGCTGGTCAGGGAGAGTAGCCAACACCTCGCATTGGTGAATGATCAAACATCTGAGACATGGCATGACATTACTACCTAATTCCCAGCGATTGAGGTCACGGAAACATATCATTTGAAATACCTCTAGTCGGGGGAACCCATTAATGCAACGCAACTCCGGCTCAGACCGATTTGCAACCGCACAGTGATGTAGTTTCAAACTTGTGAGATTCGCAAGACTTCCCAAAATGCTCATGACATCACTGTTTAATTTGGTGGTTGAGATTCTTAGCTTGGTAAGGCTAGAAGGAAAGGGATTGACAGATGATGGAATATCAGGAAAGCGATGGATCTTCAATGTATTCAGATAATTTAGGTTTGGAAGGTTTTCCCACACTTGGCCAGCCCCTTGATTATGCATGTCATCCTCACGAACATGCAAACTCAAACTCCTAAGTTTTGGGAATACTCCTTTCCCTATTAGAGACATAATAGCTGACTTTTTGTTAATGGCAATAGGAGATAGAGTCAGTAGATTCCACAGGGTTTGGCTTTGGCTTGGGCTTTTTACATCTGGAAACTCTGGTAAAATCATAGGTACAGGGGCATAAAGATGCCTCAGTCTCTTGAGCTTCCAAATTCCAATGAAAAGGAGCAGCTTCCAGTTCCAATAATCTATTCCATAAGGCCCCAGGTGCAAAGTTTCTAGATTCCAAAGATTGCATATGAATACAGGAATCGGTCCTAGAGAACCTCCACTAGAAAAGGCATAGGGGTCTATGTCTATTTTTAAGTACCTTAGATGCATCAACATGTTTAAATTGGCAAGGAACTTGCACGAGATGTCACGTTTCAGACCCAACACTCGAACAAGTTGAAACTGTTTCACAAGCTCTTTTGAATTGCTTGAATCGAAATCGAGGTACCAGTCGGAGTTAGGGTCAAAGCAGAGCAACGTACGAGTACCTGAATGGTCTCTGTTGCTTGAAGCAAAATAATCTCCGATAGTATATTGAATAGATAGCCTACGAGGTTTGCTTCGCGCTGACATGTCTGCAACCGTACAAACTTCAAAAAGCTTCTCCTCCATACTCTCAGATTTGCAAAGTTCTCTCAAAATATCATGGATCCGACACGTCTTGATACTCCCATCACTTCTCCTTCTCCCTACTTGGATTAAACTACGATCAATGAGCTCATCTAAGTAGTCCTCAGCAACATCCTCTGTAATTCTGGAATCACCATGAGGAATGAATCCTTCAGCAACCCATAGTTGGATCAAGCTTCTAGCAAGAATCTCGTGGTCTTCAGGGAACATACCAAAATATAGAAAGCACTGCTTCAATCTTGGAGGCAAGCTATCATAACTAAGTTTCAATACTATATCTTGTACAGGTGTTCCTGTTTTAGCGAGAAGCGTGTTGACATGGTCCATAATCTTGGACCAGTCTCGGCATGACTTTTCCTTGTTTGCTAGAATTCCTGCAAGGACCACAATAGATATTTGTAAGCCATGACAACTTTTTACCATACGCTTACTGAGTAGCTCGAGATTAGAAGGAACACACTCTCTTCGAAACACCCTCTTTGAAAAAAGCTCCCAACTTTCTTCTTCACTAAGAAAAGGGAGATAATAGGGAGGAGATGAGCTGGCATGAGAAGCCACGTCTTTCACACGACTAGTGATCAGGATCCTGCTGCTTTTATTATCATTCGGAAAAGCATATTGTAGGTCATCCCAATGTTGAGGTTTCCATATATCGTCCAATACTACAAAATACCTCTTTTCTTTCAAATAGTCTCGTACCTTGTCTCTCAATTCTTCCTCACTCAAATTACTTGTATTGTTATTGTCATAACATGCCTTTGCAGAGATTGACATCAAGCGTCTAAGAAGGGCGTGTAAAAGCTCTCTAGGTCTATAGTCATTAGACACATAAACCCAAGCGTGACAATCAAAGTGATTCTTGACATGATCACTGTTATAAATCTTGCAAGCGAGTAGTTTTACCCAATCCGCCCATACCTATGATGGACACCACATTGTGACGCGGACCCCCTTGCTCTAGGAGATTGATGACTTCAGTTGTGTCATGCTGAAAACCCACCACATCATCTTCCTCCACGTCCCTTCTTTGCTTGTGCAGCAGCTGTGACTCCTGATCTGTTGAAGATCCGGCTGCTTCTTGGGTGTCATACTTGATTTTATCCTCATGAATCTCCTTGATACGGGCTTTAATGTTGTCTATTTTCTCTGCCACATGTGCCGTAGCTTTGCATGGTCAACAGCATGGAGCATCCTGGACAACCAATTTCTCCTTCGATGCCAGGCAACTTTGGCAACAAAAGTGTCGATGACATCTCAGCTTCATGTGCGATGTCTGTGATTTGACGAATAATTTCTTGTTCAATCTCCTTCTTGCGCTGGTTTTGGTTGTAGCTCTTAAGGAAGGCGCTCATTATTCTGAGCTCACTCTCAAGGGACCTCACTTTGTCATCCACACCACATAGCAAATTGGCTTCGTGTGCCACAAGCCGAGACAAGTTATCCACCACAAAACTAACAATGCTATCAGCCATGAAGTCTGAACGATCCCCACAAGAACTCAAAAACAAATGAAGAAAAATCTGAAGCACAAAATATTGCCAAGACGTTCAAGGATTTAAATACTAGCTAGTGTCAGTATTCCACTTCCACGAGGTTGCCTCGAAAACTAAAAGTAAAGACTGTATTGTTTTTTCATTGTTATTCCCTTCATTCCTATTGGCCTTTCAAGTGAGCATGCAAATGAAAGATAGAAAGGTAAGGCGTGTCACGTAGGAATTTGAAAGGGACAAAAGAAGCGCGTGGATCCACTAAAAGCCCGTGCGATGCCGAGGTGGTTTCAGTTGAGCATGGAACTAGCGGGAACCAATTTCTGGGACGAGTTTCGGCACGACTAAGGTGATGAGCGCCCAAAACTCATTATATCTAAATCTGATTTAGATAGTTTAAATTTAATTTTTTTTATGTTTAAATAAAAAATTATTTTAAAAAATTAATAATTAAGAGATTATATTCATTTTAGATTTTATGCTCTTTAAAATAATTATTTAAAAAATAAAAGAATTAAATATGAACTATCTAAATCAAATCTGAATGGTTTATATATGATGAGGTTAGAGTACTAATTTGATGAGCATGCAAATAAAAAAATAGAAAGAAAGGGTGTGTCACATGGGAATGAGTTTGGATGCTCCTCAAGAGTGATGAGCATTCCAAACTCATCAAATTTAGATCCTTTATATTTAATTTGAATAATCCCAATTTATTTTTATTTTTTAAAATAATTATTTTAATGCTTATAGAATTTAAAATAAACATAACTTTTTTTATTTAAAAATAAGTAATTAAAAATATTAAATATAATCTGTTCAGATCTAGTCACATGGGGACGAGTACTTTTTTTTTTTTTAAATGTTGTTCGGCCAAGCATGGATAGTGTTAGGATTATAGTTTTGATGATAACAAAGTCAGATAATTTGGGTTAAGTATTTTGATCGATCAACTGATCGATTAATCGTTTATCGCTAAGGTTTCAGATAATTGTTCGAGTGTAAATCAGGTTTATAGTAGGTATTTGGATTGAAGAACTATTCGATAAGTAATTAATCGATAAAGTGATCGATTATCACTAACGTGGAAATCACACAAGATTATGGTTAATTATCGATCAACTGATCGATAATATCAGATAAACAATCGAGTTACTGATAAGAGAACCAAATCTGAAGTGTATTTATCGATCACGTGATCGATAAATCATTTATCAATAACGACTTCGATAAAAGGTAACACAATCTACTTGTTTTGCACATTAATTCTGTTACCAATTTATCGATCATTTTCTCGATCATTTGTTTATCGATCACATGTTCGAACATTATGCTCTAACTCTCTGAATGCAGGTAATCAACTTCACTGATGGATCGATAACCTTATTGATCATCAAATTATCGATCACATGATCGATAATCAATGTCTTTATCTACTCTTATTTAGTTTTCCTGCAACCAAATTATCGATAACATTATCGATAATTTAACTTGTTTGCATAAATATCTTTTCACATCACATGATCGATAAATAGTCTAAAGATTGCTATATTCGCGTTGAACTATTTTCGATCACCTAATCGATCATTGGATTTTCGATAATATGATCGATCATTCAATTCCCTGAAACTTATGTTTTCACAAAACGTGATCGATAATCTGTTTCTTTACCTTACAGGATTAAATTTCTTTTCTCACTTTATTCGATCACTTGTTCGAATAATCTTTGATCAATCACCTGTTCGATCACTTTAGATAGTCTGTGTCTTTCACTGAATATATTCATACTCATGGTTTATCGATAACATTATCCATCATACATTTATCGATAAGTTGTTCGATCATCAATGACTAAGTTTCATTTCAATAACATTTGAATTATCGATAATCTGTTCGATCAAACAAGTGTTCGATCACTTGTTCGATCATGGAATGATTTCCTTTTACTATGATAATTCTTAAAGTCAATGATCCAACACTTGATCGATAATATTGGTGAACTAATTCGAAAAGTCTTCATTCTGTTTATCGATAACATGATCTATCAACAAGTAATCGAACATCTCTTCGATCAAACATATCCAGAATGTCTTTCTGCTCTTCTTACAGATAAATCATTTCGTCCCAAATCTTTGAATGATATATTTGTTTTCTCTTCTTAGGTCATGACTAAAGTATTTACCGCAAGACTCTTATTTGTTTAAAGCTTAAATAATGCAGATTAATGAAAAAGAATACAACGGCTCTTCAACGGGATTACGTAGCTGCAACCTACAGTGTCAGAAGCTCAGACGCATTAATGGCGGAACCGTTGAAAACCAGCGAAACACGCAAACGGAGTCACAACGGCTAGAAGCTCTTCCGTCTAACGGCTACTTAACTATATCAACTATAAAAGGTGCGAAGAAGCATTAATGAAGAGATTGAATACCGGAACTACCACCTGCGATTATTTAGTCTAGCATTCAATGCTCTGTTTTCACGTTACTACCGAGCATCAGTGTTCATTATTAAATTCACTCTTTAAGAGAGCCAATTACTACTCTTATTAAAATACTTGAGTGATACTCAAGAGTGTGGACTCTTGAGAAGGCTTGTATCCTTACGGGAGTAAGGGGGATTGATTGAGCGATACAATTACTGTACCGAGGCACCAAGAGCCCTGTCGATCTTGGAAGATAGTGAAATACTCAGAGGTGTTCTGGGGACTGGAAGTAGGTCACGTGGTTTAGACCGAACCAGTATAAATCTTGTGTCTTCTCTCTGCGGTTAAATTTCTCCTTACTCTGACTCTCTGTTTTTATTCAATACTGTCACGCACTTAATTTAAAATTTTTGTAACTCACCCAATTCACCCCCCTCTTAGGTGAGATTGTTTCTAACAGATAGGTCATAGGCCATACTTGTTTGACAAATTTCTGTAATTACTTGAAAAAAAATTCATGCTTTAGGAATTTTTTTTCCATATATATATATTTTTTTGTGCAGGTGTGTATTTATGAGTTTCAAAGTTGGCAGTACAACTGTGAATACTAATACTAGGTGACTTTAACCTTTACCTTTTAGCAAAATAACCAAAATTATCAATGGTAATTGTCCCAATGACAATGTCACCCACCACGTTTTGACAAGGTTTCAGGTTCAAACCTGATGTTATGTTTTTATGTGTGCGCGTGTTTAAATTGTATTCTAATTCTAACTCATTGACACACATTAATAAAAAAACAAATAAATGCATTAAATTTCTTATAAAATTTAAGTGATTTTTAATATTATTTTTTCTAAATTTCAAAACCTTCCTCCCTTTCATTTAAAAATAAATAAATTGAGCTTAATATAAAACTCAGTCGGCTAATTTAAAAAGATTAAAAAAGTTATCAAATCACTTAATTATGACATATATAGATGATATCTCTCAAATATTTGCATGTATAATTAGATTATATGTCAATCCATAAGAGTAACAAATTAGTTTGAAGAAAAATGACAAATATAAATGCTTTAAGGTAACTTATTAACTTAATTAATCTCCCCAAATAAGTCGAGTAAGTCTTATATTAAAAACCAAAAGTAGTATTATGTATAAAGGATTAAAAGAAAAACTTGTTCTTGATGTTTGTGTTATCACTCAGAGACTTGTTTTCCTCTGCGTTCAGTGTGGGTCATCTTCATGAGACTGGAAATAAAGTATGATTACTAATTGTTAATAGCCATCCGATTAAATATTTTATTCACAATATTGCATGGGGAAGGGTCCTAGGTTCACGCCAGAAAATGGAATTGTCTCTTCATTCAAATCTCTCCCGCAATCAGTGGCGAGCTTCCTTCCTTATATTCCGAAATCCACTTGCAATATACTACTCAGAAAATATTTACAATTAAGATTTTTGATTAATGAGAAAATTAATTCGGCAATCGTTATAGTTTTGTCAGATTTTGAATCAGATCCCTCTAGTTTTATTTGTTTTTAATTAAAACCTTATAGTTTATTAGGTTAAATGGGCAAGTCTTTCCGTTAAAAAGGCTCCAAACACCGTTAATCTGCATATGTTTGATTAGTACTTCTATATTACGTACTTTCTTATAATGAATCACGTTATTTAAACTCGTACAATGGTGACAAACTTTGCACAATGATGACAAACACCGTTAAATCCCTCATTTCTTGAATCATATCTCTTAAAATACACTTTACATGAAGTGTAGACAAAGCTAAGAGAGACAGAGAGTTGCTGAGTTGGTTCCCGCATAATAAAAAACTACACATTGGATCCGTCCTTCTTTATATATCTCTTTAACTTATTCCATTCACATGAAGCGCACTTCAAGAAATTCGTGTGTGTGTGTGTGTGTGAATGGGCTTATAATTTTAAGGTCTCATATAATTGCACTTTGCATTGAGAGAGACTTGGAACCAAATAGAAGCTTGGCTGGGACCTTCTTTAGGCTTCCCACTGCATTCTCCTTCTATTCTAACTTAGGACCTGTTTGGTAGGAAAATTTGATTGAAATAGAAAAACATAAAGGGAAAATCTCTAAGGGATGACATGTTTGGTAAATACTGGAATGAAAAATCGGTTGTGGAAAAATTTTGTTTGGTTGGACTGAAAATGGGTTGAAATTTGTGCAATTTGCCATATTACCCTTAACGAAAGAATATAATATTATTAAATAAAAAAAAGTTTTTAACCTTTAATAATGTTATTAAAAAATTCAATAATTTAAAAAATAATAAAAATATAAAAAATTATAATTTAAATAAATAATAAATAAAATATTCAATATGAATATAGAAATCATAATAGATTTTTACAAAAATACTATAATTATTAATTTTAAAAAACTAAATAAAAATAATGAATTATATAAGTAATGATGCGAAGGTAGCATCTGTTAAGATATCAAATCAAATCTATTTTATTTTGATACTTATGACCATATATAAAAATAATAATTAACAATAAAGAAAACAAAATAAATAACTA